CTGCCTCACGGAGGGCTTGAATTAATCCCTGCTAATCAGACACTTCTGTCATAACTGATTGAGGAGATCCTGCCGACAACGGCAAACTGTCCTGGGAAAAAAGTATTCAACCATTCACCCCAGTTACATAAATGGAGAGTGATGGATTTTAATTGCTCAGTATTTCCAAGTCCACGTTATTTTTTATTTAAGCTTTTTTGTATTGAAGTTTAACACTTACCGTAAATCCTCTAATATTGGCCTGTATTCCATTAGCAGCCGGGCCTCTAATAATGGCCGGTTTTGCTGTCGGCGGAGGTAAATAATGGCCGGACTCGTATACAGGCCGAGGCTATAATTGGAACCAACGATGTTCCTGGGTGGTCCTCAGCAACCTTTGATAGTAACATGCAAGTACCACAGGGGGGCAGTGTTTGCTAACGAACCCAAGCCGTTAGCATGAGAAGTCCCATCCTTAGACAGGAGGCCGGATTGTTTGGTTTTTATGACCTGCTGTGATGGCAGAACAGTTTCCATTAATTTATTTAAAAACTTTGTTTCACGAGTCAGTTTGGCGAAGATTCCATTCTGTCCCTTTTTTTTTTTTTTTTTTTTTTTTTTATGTATCTGAATAATGTTCTATATACCGTTATGGTAACTGTACTTTTTCAATAAATGAACTTAGTATTTTATAGGTTTAAAGAGACACAAAATGTGTTTTTATTCATTCCACTGGTCGTCTGTTTTAATCAAATAGAAATAGAGACCTGCCTCTAATTCTCCTTCCAATAATGGCCTGGACCAAGATGCACCTGAGTGAAATAAAGGCCCTGGCCTATATTAGAGGATTTACGGTATCATAAAATCAGATCTTTATCCTAAGTTTGGTCTCTCACACTGGAATACCTCAAATTAGATTGATATTTTACTAGACTTCATCTGAATGTGCTGAACTTTTACTGAGCTGAGCTGTTTAACTCCACTCTCTGATTTTTCAGCCTTAAGTTCTGCCTTCACTCTTTCTGAGTGCTTGTTTTCTAGTCTGTATCTGTCTGCATGTGCTTGTAGTGCAGAGGTGTCAAGTAACAAAGTACAAATACTTCATTACTGTACTTAAGTACAGTTTTTAGGTATCTATACTTTACTCCATTACTTATTTTTCTTCCTACTTCTGACTTATACTCATTACATTTTCACACCAGTATCTGTACTTTCAATTCCTTACATTTTTAAAACAAACGTTACTCGTTACTCTTGGCTTTGGTTTAATGTTTCTAAATATTTATTTCCCGTCATGTGCTCCATCCAATGCAGATCATTGGCTCCATCCACATCTATTGAAAACTAGTGTGATTGGATGAGTCATAGAACGCAAACACTCATTGGTTAGCTAAAGGAAA